TGTAGAATCTGGGGGGGCGGGGCTAAACGGGCAGTGCTGTAGAATCTGGGGGGGCGGGGCTAAACGGGCAGTGCTGTAGAATCTGGGGGGGCGGGGCTAAACGGGCAGTGCTGTAGAATCTGGGGGGGCGGGGCTAAACGGGCAGTGCTGTAGAATCTGGGGGGGCGGGGCTAAACGGGCAGTGCTGTAGAATCTGGGGGGGCGGGGCTAAACGGGCAGTGCTGTAGAATCTGGGGGGGCGGGGCTAAACGGGCAGTGCTGTAGAATCTGGGGGGGCGGGGCTAAACGGGCAGTGCTGTAGAATGGGTGGGCGGGGCTAAACAGGCAGTGCTGTAGAATCGATGGGCAGGGCTAAACAAGCAGTGCTGTAGAATCGGTGGGCGGGGCTAAACGGGCAGTGCTGTAGAAGCAGGCGTTGATCTTCCTCTGCGGAGGCGGTGTGTTTATCCACACTTACATCGAGTAGAACATTCCACAAGCTGTTGTTTTGTCAGACTACCTTCAATATAAACTGTTTTCAGACTAACAAGAAAGTTTTGAGTTCTGAAACTTAAAGGATGTTTTTATAGAACAATGTCCTCTTATGTCAAACGATCAGGAGAATTTTGGTTTCTCAGTTCATGACCCTTTTAAGAATGTTCACACACTTGTAACAGATTTAATCAAATGTAGCAGTAAGAGGTTTATACTGACAGTTTTCCACTGTAATGTGTATCTTTTGTAGGGTTGAGAATCAGTTTTAAAAGTATAAATTTAACTGCTTTAGGCTACTACTGTACTGTATGTAATGCAGTACATATAGTTTGGTACTGATTTTCCAATAGTTTGGTACCGGTTGTCTCCTGTAGCCAATTATGTGAAACTGATTCATGTTTATTCAGTTATTTTTGTTGAAATCCAGTTTTGCATCAGTTTTATACATGTAAAATGTAAATGGGTTGTAAAGAGTTTAATGTTGACATCAACTTCGATGTTCATATCCTGAGCAAACAGATAAATTTTATGGCGCTTTGTTTGCAATTACAGGGAATGAACGCACGATGGTCTTTGTTGAAACCAAAAGAAGTGCTGATTTCATTGCAACATTTCTCTGTCAGGAGAAGCTCTCTACTACAAGCATCCATGGGTATTTTTTTTTTCCTGTCCCTTTCTCTCCAATAACGTGCTGATATAATGTGTTGAATAAAACAAGTCAGTTGTAGATGCATGTTATTACAGATCCTCTCTGACCAAAGCTTTTAATTGAATTTTGTTTCTTTTCCGAATAGTGATCGGGAGCAGCGAGAGCGAGAGAAGGCTCTCAGTGATTTTCGCACAGGCCAGTGTCCGGTGCTGGTGGCCACGTCTGTCGCTGCCAGAGGCTTGGACATTGAACAGGTCCAGCACGTTGTGAATTTCGACCTGCCCAGCAGCATCGATGAATACGTCCATCGCATCGGAAGAACCGGACGGTGTGGAAACATCGGTCGGGCCGTGTCCTTTTTTAACCCAGAGTCTGACACTCCATTAGCTCGCTCTCTGGTCAAAGTTCTGTCGGGGGTTTGTACTTTTCATATCGCATCCAAGATACTTAGCAGTGTTTTCACACTCTTTAGTTGTGAAATGTTCATATTGTGCCTATAAAATCACTTTATATGAACAACAGATTTAAATTAGGCTCTAATACACATAATTATTGATCATTGCTAAAGCAGCACATCAAATACGGTCAACGCTCAAATATGTGCTTTCTTGATGCTCATCAAAAAACATTGGTTTACCATGTTTTATGTGCTTGGAAACTAATGGAATATTTTAATGATAAATGTTGCATATTCTGTGTTGGAATGTAAACCTAGGCAATCAACTGTATACGGTACACACAAATATCAATATAACTTCGTAAACCTCTATCTCACAGGCCCAACAGGAAGTTCCCAAATGGCTGGAGGAAATTGCTTTCAGTGCTCATGGAACAACAGGCTTCAACCCACGTGGAAAAGTGTTTGCGTCTACAGACACTCGGAAGGTACGGCTCATCACTTCTCATGTGGCTGCCTGAACTCCCGTTTTGAACTCGATTTGTAGTCATTTGATGCATGTCTTTTACATTTAGTCATTTAGCAGACGCTTTTATCCAAAACGATTTACAAATGAGGACAATAGAAGCAATCAAAATCAACAAAACTGCAAGTGCTATAATGAGTCTCAGTTATCGCTAGTTCCGCCTTCTCGATGACATCACGCGCGTCGTTAAAGACTGCACGCGACGAATGGTCGGGAAGCAACATGTAGTCTGACATGTTTCTTGTCCACGGTATAATAGAAAGTGCTACAGTTAGAGGGTCAAATAAAGGTGGAACAGATGTGTTTTTAGTCGTTTCTTGAAGATGGCTGAGGACTCAGCGGCTCGGATTGAGTTGTGCAGGTCATTCCACCAGGAGGGAACAGTTAGTGAAAAATTTAACTTTTAATGGTTTTTGTTTTTAGGGAGGGTCCTTCAAGATGGATGAGCCGCCTCAAGCATCCGCCCCAAGCCCAGCTGCGGCTGCAGATGATGAGGAATGGGAGTAACTACTCTAACACCTTACGTTCTGTTAAAAAAAAAAAAAAAAAAAGTCACATTCTGAAAACTGTAGGTTTGATCTGAAGGACAATATTAATCAAGACATGATACCTTTTTAGCGGTTTGGTTTGAATTAATGATCTGATTTTCTGTCACTTGTTTTGATTGAAGAGCACAACTGGATTAGTGGATTTGTTTTGCATGATCCCATTAACACTTTGCTAAGAGCGTATTGAGTTTTGTGAGCTTTTACCTGAAGGTCTTTCCTACAGTTGTACCGTATCAATCAGTTCTGTTGTTAAATGTGACCGTTTGTAGGTTGTTTTCTTGACATTTTTGTCTTAAAGCCTAAGTATACAAGTAAAGAAGCTTGTTTTGCTAATGTACCTTGCACCTTGCCAGATGAAGGTAAATAAAGCGATTGTTTACCAGACGACTTGGTTTTAAAAATTGAATCTTGCTAAAAATTTCACATTCGAGACTAAGCTGTACCACAGAGCAGTGCTTCTCCACTTGTTAAAATGGCTAAAAATAAAGATGGAAGTTGACATTTGATTTCTCAAAAATGACTAGTTTGATTTTAAGCGTTGATTTCTAAACCTCAGTCTTTTTTCCTAAATATGTCAAGCTCTAAAATATTTAGTTGTGTAGAAATTAACGAGGAATAGCTGAAGAGTGGAGGGGAAAAAACACGCCACATCTCTTAATCATGAACGGCAAAAACAAATGAAAAGAAATGTATCATTTGAGTCATATATTGGGCTGTAAATAAGAAGCTTTGTCTTTACCAAAGAATCTTTGAGTATAGCTACAGTTTTATTTAGTAAAGTTTGTTGTATTTGTAAATTTGAGCAATTCTATGGTGTTCGTAACTGTAAAACACAAAGCAATTGAGTGATATGCCTTTACTGAGTAGGAGGTTGCTGCTGTATCTCCTTTAATGATAATCTCTGTTTGGGGTTGTCACAAATGTGGAATCTGTACATGTTCACTTCTGCATTTTAATGGAGCTGTGAAAAAAATAAGATCTCACACCGTAACTTTTAACCATAGCATCTGGTTAGAAGTGGCAAGTGTTAGTCTGGTCCGTTATGTATGCATAAATATAGACGTTTTCATTAATACTGCTATATATTCATACAGTTCAAGTGCCAAAACCACTTCCAAGTGCTTTGCTGACCATTATATATTACTGCTTGATTGGCCAGCCAACATGCCTGACCTGAAGCCCATAGACTGGAGAATCTATGGGATATTTTCAAGAGAAAGATGAGAAACAATCCAACAATGGATCCAACAATCCAGACGAGCTGAAGGCTTCACTAACGCCTCAGCCGAGCCACAGGCTGATCGTCTCCACGCCGCACTGAAGCAGTAATTCATGCAAAAGGAGCCCCAACCAAGTATTGAGTGCAGAATGAAACCTACTTTGGAGATATTGAACATTTCTGTTTCGTCAATCTTTTTTTGATGGATCTTTGAGAAAATATGAGATAATGAATTTTTTATTTTCCTAAGCTGCAAGTCGTAACCATACAAAAAAAAAAACTAGAAATATTTCAGTTTGTATGCAATTAATCTAGAATATAAGAAAGTTTGCTTTTTTTAAATTTTTTTATTAAATTACAAAAAATAAAGAACTTTTCCATGATATGAGATGCACCTGGATAATGCTGGATGAGTTTGGAGAACATCTGAAGAGGTCAGAGAGCATTCCTTCGTCCAGAATCACTCCAGACCCTTCAGATGTCCAGCTGCATGCTGGTGCTTCTCTTCAGTTCACTCATTCTCTACAGGGTTCAGGTCAGAGGTCAGGGATGGCCAGGGCAGAAGCTTCATTTTGTGTTCAGTGACATTTGTTTTGATGTTGATGGTTGTTTCGGCTCATCGTCCTGTTGGAAGATAGGTATTTAATATTTAAGGTAAGGTAATTTTAGTATTAAGGTATCCAGGATCTGGCAGAAAAATCGGCCCACAACATTAAACACTGCAGTATATTTCATTGTACACGTGCGAAACCCATCTTGCGTGTTTGCGGTTAAAAAGCTCATTTTTTTTAGTTTCATCTGACCATAAAAAGCCAGTCCTGTTTGGAGTTCCAGTCATGTCTAGCAAATGAATATGCTGGAGGTGTTTCTTTGGTTGTGTTTAAAAAAAAAAAAATGTTTGTCTTTATTTAAATTATCCTGAGCCTTATAAGTTTGCTGAGCTCCCCTGGTTAAGAACCTCTGTCTGCCGTTAAAATGAACTCTATAATCACAATGCAACAACACTAAATTACACCAAGATTAAAATGCGTACAATAAACATTTTAATTCGATAAATGTTAGTTTTCGGTTTAATTTTTCCCGCGTTTGTTCATAACGGTCTGTTCGCCCGCTCTGGAATTATGGGTAATGTAGTTGTTTGAAGGCGTCCTCGCGTTCCTCGTGCGTTGTGTAGCGGTGACATCTGCACTACTAATCCCATGCGACATTTGAAAAGCACGTGCCGTTTAAATACTGAGTTTCCTTTTCAAAACATTTGTCTCAGCAGATTGTCGGGTTTTGTTTGCTTTGGTAAGTTTATAATTCAAGCTGCCTGTTTATGAGCTTTCATCTAAATACTAAAGCGACACGAAATCTCAATGTGATGCTTATGGCTACCTGTGCAGATAAAAACATAAAGGTACTAACTCTACACTTTTGTTTATGACCCAAATTGAGCTAATGTAAGGGCTTTTGAGTTGATTTAGTGTATTTAGTATTGATCGCTTGAAGTACGTGTTCTGGTTCTTTCGTTTATTTCGTTATAGTCTAAATGAATACTTTAAAACGATTCACAGTCTTGCATGATTTCACCTGTGTTTATGGCATCATGTGTATTGCATATAAACTGCAGGTGTTCGTGTCCTCTAGAGAACAGACATGTTGTTATTGACACACTGCATATGAAGGAGTGTTGTTCATAGCAGATGCAGGGCTCATATAATGACACCTGACTTTCAGAAGTGCCTTCAAACAGCAGAGCTTCAGCTTATCTGGTCTTTTCAAACAGTGATTGCTTATTGCTCTGTTCACAAAACGCGTTTTGTTAAGAATCCAAACAACAGGAAAGGTAATCTACTTTAACTAATTTCCCCTCTTAATCAGATTTAATCAAAGTGTTGATTAGATTTTCTGTTTCTGAATGGCTTTGCCTGCTCCTGCTGAAAATGGTGTTCATTGCAATGG